TATCTGTCTCCTCAAGATGGCTCAATAGTCCTCACCATCAGCGACGTAGGCACTCCCAGCCTATACCATCTCTCCCGCTCTTCTTTTTCCTCCACCTGCACCACTCTTCTTGCCCCAACATCTCTCAACGGCACCATAAGCGACAATAGCCATCACGCAGAAGCGTGATCGACAATCTACAAATCTTGCTATATATAACCAACAATAACCCATCTCCAATGTTCTAGATCTCCGATCCCACAATTTTAGTTACTACCAATAGTGTCACCTATTCTTAGTCCTTCTCAGGCACTGCGGTCCTCCGCAGCCACATCGATTGAGGACATGTCTGTTATGGTGCTCAGCGATATCATGTGGGTCAAGGACGAGTTCGTGATCCTACAATGGGTCTACACAAGGATCTCATTGGAACTCTTCGACGTACTACCATCATTGTTTGTGCGGTTGCAGCGGATGCTCCAGGAGAACCATGACGCCCACATACACCATCTGGAGATGGGTATGCACACAACCCGTCAAGGCGACAAACTGTGGGGCGGTATTGCCAGCACCTGGAGACAACGACCGCACTCTCGTCAGGGCGCTGATGGCAGGCATTAGCGACAAATTCGACACGGCGTCCTCACTCATCCCTCTACTCTATCCAGCGTTGAAGTTCTTTTGAGGTACAATCCATGCTCGAACTTGAAGAGCTCAATTTGAGTTACAAAATGGAGTATCACATGCCTTCTACTCCTACACCGCCCCCCTGGGCGGTGGTAGCGACTCCTTTACAAGCGCCCATCCACCAAATCAAGTTGCACTAAGTCCAAACCGGTAATTGCCGCCACCGGGTGCCGGCCTCAATTATTGGGGGGATGCAACCCCAGGTTCTCAGTCATGACATTCGACCAACGTCGGAGCTGCTACATAGACTTCCACTTCGATCAGAACTTGTGTCCTCAATCTGATCCATGGACCCTGTTCATCCAAGTTTGGCCCGTCCCATGCACCTCCGATGTTTCTTATGGCGCCTCGTGGCAACATGCATCGGTCTCTATGTGTCCAGTGGACGGGCCATGCCTTCTTAGCACTTGTCTTCCACCTCAAGCCTGCACATACGTTACGCCTCTCCATCTGTTGACCGGCGACGGCTTTTCATCAGCACACGCCATTCTGTCCATGCCATTGATGTCACCCCACCGTCCTACCCATCTGATTCACGTCAATCAAATCGGTTATGCCACCTCTTCACTAACTAACTCTTACTATGGCTTTGTGATCCCGATGCATCACCGACTATGCCGACTCCAACACGGGACCATGCTGCTTTTCGTCATGCCATGAATGCCCACACCGGTTGGCTCTTCGACTCGGGCGTAATTCACACATGTAAGCTAGAAACTGGTATATTGTCATCACATCGTCAAATATCCACCTTTCATCGCTATCATAGTTGGCAAGAAGAGCCATCGAAGTCAAAATCCAGGCCATCATCTCCGTTTTCTTCCTTGCCATCCATGATAGCCTTAATGTCGTGTGCAATGGAAGAAACTCTCTTATCCAAAGATGCAAACTTGGCAGTCACATTCTTCTGGAATGCTTCCTGGCAGTCAAGGGATGTAGCCAAGGTCAAATCAGTGCGGCCAAGAGAAGCAACGGTGTAGGAAAGTTGTCCAAAAGTAGTCTTCGGGACTAGAGTAGGGGCAGTTTCCTTAGGAGCTGAAGGTGGTCGAGCTGGAAGAGACTCCTGGAGAAATTGTGGAACTACAGGGCACATTCTTCTTTTCCATCTTCACTTTAGGTCAAGGTTCTTCATGAGCGGCACAAGTAGTCTCATACATCTAAAGAGCGGGAGTGAATACCACATGCTTAAGATCGAGATCAAAAGTACTAACTTTGGAGTTGATGTGTCTTTGAATGAATCGAGCATAGAAGCATGAGTGCTTGAGATCCATGTGTGTCCTCTTGCTTGTCTCAAATATGAAGTCCATGACACTGAATGGCGCACAATGGTCAAGGTATATGAGAAGGTCAATGGCATATCAGCGGATGTAGAGAGATAGTTCGGCAATGGAATATTCGTTGTATTGATTGGGTGCTGGTGCACGTATATATAAGTACAGGAAGGCCTCAACCTCAACTTTACACAACTAGGAGGTGGGCCAAAAAAAGGGAACACCGTCTCGACAAAATACACGTGCCTCGAGGTGTACACACGATGAGTGACATGATCATAGCACCGGTAACCTTTGGTGTTAGAGGGATAGCCAAGAAAGACGCATGGGGCAGAACGTGGTGCGAGTTTATGTGAGGTGGTGGACGCGGTGCTAGGATAGAAGAGACACCCAAAGATGCGAGGACCGTCATAGGACGGCGGAGTAACGAAGAGAAGGTGATGAGGGACATAGTTCCATCGAGGGTGGCACGGACGAATGTTAACTAAAAGAGTGGCGGTGGCAAGAGCATCAGGCCAAAACCGAGCGGACACATTAGAGTGAAAGAGTAACGTGCGAATGCAGTCATTAAGAGTGCGGAGGATGCGCTCGGCACAGCTGTTTTGCTGTGAGGTGTATGGGCAAGTTAGACGGAAGGTGGTGCCGTGAGAGGCGAGAAGGATGCGGAGAGCGAGGTTGTCAAACTCTTTTCCGTTATCGGTCTGAGTGCAAGAATGGGGCGACCGAACTGTGTGGTGACATAGGAATAAAATGAGGTGAGTGTGGCTAAAGTTTCGGATTTACGACGAAGAGGAAAAGTCCCCACATAATGAGAATAATCATCTAAAATCACCAAATAGTATAGATAGCCCGTGTTACTGGCAACAGGAGACGTCCATACATCACTATGAAGTAATTAAAACGGAAATGTGGAAACTATGGTAGACACACTAAAGGGAAGATGAACGTGCTTGCCCAAACGACAAGCCTCACAAGTATGCTTGTCGAGCTTATTACACGAGAAAGAAAAACTCCTAAGAATCTGACGCAAAACGGCGGGGTTGGGTGGCCCAAGTGAGCATGCCAAAGATCGACGCTGGCGGCAAGGGCGACGGGTGTGGAGGTGGAGGCGCCAGCGTGCACGGAATAGAGCTCGTCAGGGCTATCACATCGGTGAAGTACCATCCGGGTACGGGTGTTCTTCACAGAAAAACCAACACCGTCAAATTCAACAGTAAGTGGATTCTCATGAGTAGGACGACGAACGGAAACTAAGCTAGTGACTGAGTCAGGTGAAACAAGAACATTAGACATCGTGTTAGGTGTGGAACTAGAAGGAAAACTAGTGCTACCAATATGAGTGTAGGTAAAGAAGAACCGTTGCCAACGGTGATGCGAGTGGGTGTGTTAACGGGAGTAGAAGAGGATAGGTTACCCGGATGAGCTGTCATGTGCGCAGTAGCACCCGAGTCCATGTACCAGTCGCCTCCACCGCCATAGCTACTCGGTGACGGCGCAGAGTGCAGGGCGGCCAGGAGGGCGGGATCCCACGGTGCAGGTACCGGCGTCAACAGTGGAGCTCCGTAGGGCGGCGCCTGGGCGGGCGGGCCGTAACCACCGAGAGGAGGCGGTGCGAGGGGGGGCCAGTCGGCTGGTACGACGCGCCGAGGAACGCCTGGTGGCCCGCGGGACGAGGACCGAGGAGACCCGGCGCAGGAGCCCGTGGGACGGGCATATGATAGGCATGCACAACGCCCGTCCACGTGTTCTGCCCGGTTGCCCATGGTGGAGGGGGCTGCTGGTAGCACGGCGCCCTGGGCCGGCTGTTGCTGACGGCGGCCCGCGCCGCCCCGCTGGTTGCGCCGGCCCCCGCCACCTTGCTGCTGCTGAGGAGGCGCGGGGGGCGCGGGTGGCACCGGGTAGTACCTGACGGGCGCGGTGGGGGGGTGGGGGCGACCGGTGGAGCTGCGACGGGCGCGGGGGGGTCAGTGTGCTGGACCCGCTGCTTCACCTTCGTCATCCGGCGCTCCTCAAGCTTGAGGTACGCGACGACGCGTTGGAAGGTGGGCTGCGGCAGCAAGGTGAGATTGGATGCCGCGTTGCCGATGTCCTCGTTGAGTCTGGCGATGAGGGTGCTCAGCATGAGGTCGTCGGAGACCTTGGCGCCGATGTCGCGGAGTTCATCGGCGAGCATCTTGAGCCTCATGCAATACTCATTGATGGTGGAGTTGTCCTGGTGACAGCCGAAGAACTCCTACTGCAAGAAAACAAGGCGCCGAAGTTTGTTGTCGGTGAAAAGCGCGTTGATCTTGGTCCACAGTATGACTCCGGGTTGAGTTGTGCCATTGTTACATGCTCCCGCCTCGTAACATACCTAGAGTCCTAGACTCCCTTAATCTGCGTACGTTTTTTCTTCTGTTTGTTGAAGGTTCTGAATACCTAGAACCCCTTGATTTCTGGGCCCACATCTACTAATCTATTTATCTGGCGTAATCAAGACGAGAAATAATGCAATCATTACGTACTTCTTTCGGTGGGTTTGAAAAACAAAATATGTGAACGTTTATAATGCTAGATAACACCAAGTTTACGGGAACCAACATGCTCCTTGCAGTCCAGTTATTACTCTTCCAGCATTGCATTGAACAAGGTTGCATTGGAGAAAAATAATTTGCTCTGCAATGAAATTAAAGAAGGTTCATCTATGAGAAAATGCTGCTGGACTGCTGCATCAACGTGGTCGTCTGCACAAGCGCATTGCTCTTTGGTAGTGGTTTTACCTCAAGCGAAACCCTATGCAGTTACAAGTGAAAGAGGTTGAACAGTCTTGACAACTGAGAAGTGCAGAACTATATTGTAGGAGGTACCTGATGCTCAACGGGCACTCTAATCTCTAGACGTACACCCGTATAACCATAAATTTGTTTTTTTGCTTCCAAAGACGGGGTTCTAAATAAACTAATCCACTCTTTCTCCACCACATTTGTTCAAAGTCCTTTTTCTTAGTCTTTGCTTGTGAATATCTTTGACAAATTGATCTTGCAGGTCCCACTTGCCCAATAGGACAAGCAAGCTAGGAAAACGATGGGTGTCCAAGAAATCCGCGATGTTGTGTCATCCCTGTTCATCATGCTAAACAAAGAGACATACATCCTGTTTCGGATTGAGTTTCTTGTGGTCCTGGTCACAGTCATGTTCCTTGTCATGTTCATCGTGGACATCTTTCGTCGCCACATCCGCAACACAGCAGTGACAGTCATCTTCAACATCTTGGGTACGGTCTCTGACTCTATTGTCTTCTACCTGCTGGGGGCCATGACAAAAGCAAGCTTCACAAATCAGTTGTTCCCTGTCTGGGCCCTCGTGCTTGTTAGTATCCGTTACAACATTGACTTCATCTCTGGCTATGGTGTTTATGACCGCCATGGGCGACGGTTCAGGGAGTGGAGTAACGTGGTGAAACTTCTGGGAACAGCCTTCTTGATGATCGGAGGCTCAAGGTTCACACTTCCACTTTGGTCGCTTTTGGCTCTGCTGATGCTGAGGAGCTGGTACAGATTGAAAGCATATAGTTTGGCGCTCCGTTCTGTCTGGCATGGCAAGAGTTCAGAGGTGGTCACAGAGTACATGCGTGCAGGCCCTCATAGTAGCAACTGGAAACCAAATGAGTGCAGTCCAGAGAATGATCTGGAAGGATACAAATACTTGGTACATGGAGAAACCCGTCGGAGAATAAAATTCAAGAAGCCTCGCTATGTCTTGGACATCGATACTGCAGCTGGGCGTGATTTTTCGTCAGTGATCACCCTAGACATGATTTGGGGATGTCGTAGGCACCAGTTACTCCCAGAAAACAATAAGGGAAATGATCCAAAGGATCTCTCTTTGGCCTTCGCCTTGTCCAGACTGCTCCGGTGCAGGCTCGAGGATGTAACACTGCAACAAGAAATCTTCTGCATTAACCGAAAGCTAGTGAAGACTAAGATTCTTGACGACCAGAATGCTGATCGTGCCTTCAAAATCATGGAGTTGCAACTATCCTTCATAAATGAGTACTTCAACAGCCGTTACCCTATGGTCTTTTGGGAAGGGTTCAATTCTCTCTTCTCAAATCTGCTTCTCTCTGTGGTGAATTTGGCTCTTGTCTGCTGGCTTGTTGTGGACATCTGCAAAAACTATAACAATGATCCCCCGCAAAATCACCAGTACAATCCCCCGAAGAATCACAGGGCTAATGTGGTGCATGGGTTCAACGTCGACATGTTCATCACATTTGTATTCATTTTCTTTATGGTGTTCAAAGAGATCTGGGAGATGGTCAGCTATATAATCTCAGACTGGACAAGGTTACTCCTTGTGTGCAGCTATGCACGGCTTAAGGAAGAGCCCACTAGAAATAGATGTATGGAGAGAACAATGTCATCCCTTTTCAGATCTAGGGTAACTACTAAGCAGTGGCATGGACTTATTGACCAGTATGTCTTCTTAGAGTCATATGATGATAGACCAAGATTTTGGAATCTGCTTCACAAGATAACCACAGGAATGGCACCAAAGAAGGATGATGGAGCAACACTCCGTGATGCCATCGATGTGCCGGAATGTGTCAGGCCTACAATACTGAAGAAGCTCTGTGCAAGCCTAGAGAAGCCCAACTCTCCTGACACCGTACATTATCAGCCAGACAGTCCTAACATAAATCATGAGGAGCCCATCATTTGGGGTAGTCGTTTTCTACCCAAGGTCATCACATCACTGCCCGAAGCTGTTGGAAACCGAAGGGAGAAGTATGATTGGGCCTGCTATGGCCTGCCCACGTGCTCTCATGTAATTCTGGTGTGGCACATTGCAACAAGCCTCTGTGAGATGAAGCTTGCTCGGGCACATGGCGTCGATTTAAGCAAACATGGGTTCCTGGTATCCCTCTTGTCGTACATGACAAGTTTCTGCTCATCAAAACCATATCTTGTGGACGTGGACGAGAAGACGAAAGAAAAGAAGAAAGTGAATGAGAAGTTGCCCGATAAGATCCAGGAAATGTATATCACTGCCAATAGCTTGTCTCGGTACTGTGCATATCTGTTAGTTTCAAAGCCCGACCTGATCCCTGATAGCTTCTATGTTCCCAAAATGGTCTTCCAAGAAACTGTAACACAAGCTCGTGATGGTATTCTTAAGGACTGTGACTCATTACAGAATAGGTATGAAAAACTGTTGCAAGTAGGAGTCGAGGCCATCCAAGATGCTAACAACATCATGAAGGATGATGTCGTACGACAAGGTGCAAAGCTGGGAAAGTTACTGATTGATCAAGAGAGTGAAGAAGGCTGCTGGGAGATCCTGTCTGGGGTATGGGCAGAGTTACTAGTGCACATTGCCCCCACTTGGAACGCAGAGGCGCACAAGGAGTGCCTCGAGTCAGGCAGGGAATTCATAACCTATATCTGGGCATTGCTATGGCATTGTGGAATCGAGAAGAGCAAATTATGGCCTGAGGAAGATTTGCATGAAAATGGTGCCCCTGGAACACCACCTCAGGATAGCAGTGTTCAAACTAATAGCACTCAGCATGCACAACAGACTTGTGCAGCAGGACCAAAGAAAGAAAGAGAGGAAGCTGTCATACAGAGATCAGAGATGCAGCAAGTTGATGCAGAGGAGAGGAATGGGTGGACCGAAACGCCAAGCGCAGATACGGCTGATCATCAGAATGGGCAAGGTGGCAGTATGGGGGTTAGAGGGATGCGGAATGGCGGGAACACATGTTACTTCAATGCAGTGCTGCAGAGTCTCCTTGCACTTGATAAGCTGCGTGCAAGGATGTTAGGATCGGATGCTCTAAAAGGGAACCTGGGCCAGGAACTGCAGAAGCTTTTCATAATGACAACAAATACCAATGACGCAAACGGTATGTTGAAGCCAGAGAAGCTCTTCTTACATATGTGCTTAAGGAATTCAGATTTCAAATCTGGCGTGATGGAAGACAGCAATAACATGCTTGGTTCCTTGCTAGATGGTTTGAACAATGAGGAACCTACAATGGTTGAGTCACTTTTCCGTGGCCAGATTGTTAAACTTGTCTCCAGCAAAGAGTGTGATCACACATCAGTTACCACGGAGAATCTTGATCTCAGTCTGGCAATACCATCAAAAAAGACTACATCACTCGAGGACTGCTTGGATTTATATGCCACTGGGGTGATCGAGGATTGGCACTGTATCGGCTGTTCAGCTGCTGGTGCTGGTGGTCGTGATGGTGGAAATGGCTCTTTGAAACAAGATGATACAACAACCAGTGATGGCCAACCTGAACAGTCGGAGAATAAACCATACGGGAAGGAGGAATCTAGCCATATAGCTGACAGAGAAGCAAGAATAACAAATCAGAACAATGGAAAGCTACCTGTGTTTAATGGCAATGCAAATCAAATAGAACAAAGTCATAGAAAACACAAGGACGAAGAGAAGATATGCAGAGTTGCAATAGTACAATATCGCATTAGCAAGGCGGCACCTTTATTAACCATTCAACTCAAGAGATTCGACTATTCACACCCTGATAGGCCAGACAAGCTTGAAGAACATGTGCGCTTTCAGGATACACTAGATATAACAAAGTTCATGGACCCTGGGTATTGACACTTAACACTTTTACTCAGTTAAATATAGCTAATATATTGTCCTCTTCAAATATCAGAGATCAGATTATCTCTAAGTGGGCATGACATCGTTGATGGTTTCAATTTAAGAAAAAAAGCTAACAAATAGTTTGTCTCTAATTTTTAGGCATCAGGCGGACGACGGGTACAAATACCGTCTAGTTGCTGTCATTGTACACAGTGGACCAACCCTGCATGAAGGACACAATTTTGCTTATGTGAGAGCAAGCCAGATTGCATGCCAGCAGCAGGAGAGCCGTGGCACTCCCACATGGTTCCGTGCAAGCGATGAGAGCATCACAGAAGTATCATTGGAAGAGGTGCTGGAGTGTCAGGCATACATTCTTTTCTACGAAAGAGTTGAACAGGCAAAGGACATGTCAGTTCTAGAAGAGCATCTGCCGACCGACCACTGATTGAGAGCAAGATGAACAGTGGGGGAAGATGGATGAGAAGGGCAAACATTTGTGGATTTTTTAAATTTTATTTGGCTGTTTCATTCAGCAAGCAAGACAGTGTGATTTATTATGATAGTGGAGAGATCCCTCTGTGGAAGGCACGAAGTTTGGACTGAAAGCTCGAATACTGTTGCTTTTATTTTGATTTTCGCAATTCAATTTGGTTGTAAAGAAGTAACTTGATCCACTTGCAAACTGTGTTCATATTTATTCTTTTTTTCTACGCTTTTCCTGACCTGCAACCGCACACAAAATCCAGATCGAGGTTCAATGTCCTAAATCCAGATTCAGGTTCTCCTTTTTCTGTCTTCTCTGAGAAGCATAGTTCAGAAAATTCAATTGACATGTAGTAATGTGGTTGCTTCGTGAGATGGGGTGTCGTTCACTACTGAATACTGACCGCATGTGTACATGTTCATTGTTTCATCACCTACAGTCGCAAGCAAAACCGAACCCTGCATCCCAGATAGGTTTGGATTCAAGTTGTTGGTGAAATCGACGAGCGGGATGCGCGGATAGATGGGGGGGATAAACCGAGGTGCTGATGCGTACCTACATCACATCCCAGCGGAGCTGCTGAAGCTGAACCGAGCGGGTCGCCTTCGTCCTGGAACCCAGCAACTCCTCAGCCTGCCCATGGAAGCCGCGCTGGGATTGCCCTGCCGCCAACGACGCTCTCGCTCATCGGCAGGCAGAGGCGGTCACACTCCCTCCCACCCGCGACTCCGCCCTCAGTCGCGCATTTCTTGTCTCCGTTTCTGTGGAACGAAAACGTAAAGGTGACCATTCCAAACCCCAAACCCCAGTCCAGTTTTCAGTAGGTGCATTCTTCTGTGACTTTGGAACTTGATCTAATAACGGTTGAGACGCCGGACCAGTGAATCAGTCATGTAAATATTTTCCCTTCCTTCACATTTTATGTTACCGTCGGAGTGGTAACGTCCCACGGGGTGGGTCCACCACACACGAAAACTCTAAGGCGACGGGAGGCGATTGCATGGCGATTGCCTACCGCTGCTAGGGTTAGGGTTCGAACTGCGGAGGTGAGAGAGGGCATGGTGGTCACAAGGGTGGCGACGGCGCAACCCGTGGGACTGACCGGCGATCTTCCTCCTTTGTTGGAGGCGGAGCTGATGGCGGAGAAGGCAGGGGAAAGTCAATTAGGGTTTCGGGGCAGATGGGATCTTCATCGGCGGCGGCGGCGGCGGCGGCTTCACCGAGGCATCAAAACAAGACATCGACGGTGATCGACGAGGCGAACCAGAAGAAGCACTCAAGCAGATCTAGCCATGCATCGGGCTCGGGAACGGCAAATCTCAAGAAAGCAGATGCCATGCATGGAGATACAGAGGCACTGGCCTCGCACAGGAAGAACACCCTGGTCAAGGCAGGGGGGGGGGGGTGATGTCTACGCCGGCATGCAAGATGACTGACACGGCAAGCCGGGATTCTTCGAAGTCCCCGGTTGAAAGCAAAACCCCGGATCCCACGTCAAGCCTATCGGCGAGATTAGGCGGCATGGTGTTGCTGGATAAGGAGGCGGAGGGTTTTGTGTTTGACGATCCAGAGAAGGGTACTCCAAAAATCTCTCGCTGGTCGGCGGTGGGCAAAGTTTGCTTGCCAAGGCCGATGATTATGAGTGCCGTTGAACGAGCTATGCAACGAGCCTGGGGCCTGCACAAAGTAGCTAAGTTTGCTGACCTTGGTCTAACACTTTTGAGGTTCACTTTGGCAGCGAGGGTGATTGGAAGCATGCAATGAATAACGGACCATGGCAGCATGATTTCAGTGTGTTGATCTTGAAGGAGTATGAAGGCAAGACTAGGCCGTCAGAGATGGTCTTCGACAAGACGGACATTTGAGTCCGGGTGGACGATCTTCCACCGGACAGAAAGACTGAATCATTCGGGAGAGCTCTTGGGAATTGGCTGGGTGAGATTGCGCGGGTAGATACTGATAAGGACGGAGTAGCCAGGGGACAATACCTCAGAGTCAGGGCCAAAATTTCTGTGTTCGAACCTCTGGTGAGGGGCTTTTATCTCAAAACATCTAAGGAGGACAAATTTGGCACTTGGTTTGACTTCTACTATGAGAAGGTGCCACACTTCTGTTTCGAGTGTGGCCGGATCACTACTAGAAAAACCCCTACTAATGGCGCACCTAGTATGGCTATTAATGGCGCATCTGTGGTGCGCCATTAATAGCACGCCATTAGTAATTTTTACTAATGGCGCACCACCTGGTGCGCCATTAGTATCTGGCGCATCGCGGGTGCGCCATTAGTATAGGCCAGGGTGCGCCATTAGTATGCCTCCCAGGGGCCATGTATACCCAGGTGCTTTGGCATACTAATGGCGCACCACCTCTGGATGCGCCATTAGTAACCGCGGCATACTAATGGCGCACTACCCAGTGATGCGCCATTAGTATGCACTGTCATACTAATGGCGCACTGTCATGTGATGCGCCATTAGTATGAAAATTAGGTTTTTTTTTATTTTTTTATTTTCTGTTTTTTGCACAGGTTACAAAATGTATAATTTAACAAAATATAGATAGCACACATCAACAACAGATTCATCGAATACAATAGAAGATTAGTCTTTGAATACAATTCATCATATTAGTCTCCGAATACAATTCATCATATTAGTCTCCGAATTGAAAAGACCGAACAAAGATAGAACATTATATTACAAGTCTCAAGACCGCGAGTAGCGAGTTTGTCTTCACATTACAAGTCGATATCGATCATCTAAACTACCATCACATAAAAGAGAGCTGCGGTCATCACGATGAGCATCATCACGATGAAACTCGTCTTCATCCGGTTCCTCCAACGCTCCCTCCCCTCTCCCGCTAGATAGCGGGCGTATCTAGATTCGGCCTCGGCCCTAGTGGTGTACCCTTTGTAACTGTTACCGCTGAATCGGTGAACCTGTCTCCGACACTCCTCCCAGTCATCGTAGACTCCGGGAACCTTACCCTTGTACACGACATACGTCGACATCGCTATGCACTAGCCAAACGAAACGTTAGTACCAATTCACAGACAATACATAAGCAATATATAAGTATGCAACAGAACAATCGGAAGAGAAAAGCAAGACATTAATAGCATCGATCACATCTAAGTTGAACGACTCTCGAAACCAAAGAGACATACTACAAGTTCATTAAAGTTTAATTACAACATGAGCCAATCGATGTTTCAGAACTAGACACAGCATCACTGCTTTCGACTCGACTCAAGGGACCGGAGCGTGGATGAAGCCGCCGTCTATCATGGGAGTCATGAAATAACGGTCGTTGTCAGCCTGCATTTGTAGCATTGTGTCGATGTCACTGTTGGACGGTTGATTTCTGAGGTAGAACTGCCCCGAGGTACGAAGGACATCTTGATGGATGATTTCCGCAAACTCCGACTGGATGCGAAAGAATTCTTGTCGGAGGTCCGTGTCCTGGATTGCCGACACGCTCGCGGCCCAATCTTTGAGTTTACTCGGTAGCAGAAGTTGATGATGGTCCCGTACGATCGCCCGCATGTGATGGATGGCGTAGTAGACACCCTTTTGACCGCCAGGCGGCTGCTTGACGCAGCAAAACGTCGTATTGTGGGAGAACACGTGCTTGCCGTACTTACGAATAGGCCTGGTGAAGGTGCCTCCAGATTTGGCGTAGCCGGGGAGAACATCATCAAGAACCTTCTTGACATTTGTGTAGTCTACGTTCGACTGACGGTCCGGGTCGAAATACGTGGCCATGGAATATTTGGGGCTTAGGAGGATGAGCGTGCAACGTGTGTCACTGCAGAAAACACGGAATGTTAAAAGAAAAACGATCGAAATGTAAGAATTCATATGTTACGGGCCGGTTGAGGGGAGGACTTACTCGGGAAAGTAAGGCACGAGGAAGTTATCCTTATCTTGGTTTGCCAGAATGACGCCTTCGAGGTAAGAACTCGCGACTTGCCGGTCCCCAGCGCTGCCCAAGATCTTGGCACGCATGTAGAAGGGGTCAACTATCACGATGTCCGGGGTCTTGTCGCGAATGATCCGCATCTCCATACTTAGCGAAAATAGCCGAACGAAGGTGTACTGCAGCGGATGAAGGTTCAACATAGCGTGGATGTCATCAAAACGCAGGACGATCGTACGCCCGATGGAGTTATCCACAAAGCCCTTGCCCTCTGGCACCTTGGCCGGTATGCCACATCCTTCTCCCTGAGACGCCGCTTCTCCAAAGAAAGAACACTGTCATGCAGACTCCGCATAGCACCGGTTGCAGCATTGAGCATATTTGTCGGTAGCATCGCCCTACCCGCCACATGCACCCTCCTCGAGATATCCTGCGGTGAAGGTGGCCCGTCCTGAGCACGGATCGTACTCGGTGCCGGCTGGCTCGCACCCTTCTTAGTCTTTCTTTTGCGTGCCTTCTTCTTCTCCTGTAATGGGACCGAGTTCTGCTCACAGACCGCCTTCTTGAGTGTGTTGGGGCTGATAATATTTCGCACCTCGCCTATCTGAGGCTCGGTGAAGTCGGCAGCTGGAGGCGTCTCCTGAGAGCTGAACGCCAGACGGCGCCTGTTGCAACGTGGCTTCTCCGCGGTACCAGCTAGATCGCACACGTCTTTTGTTGGGTTTGGTTCTTGAGAAGGAGGCCCCATGAAGTCGCCATCGTACCCATGATCGGCAAAGTACTGATCGACGTTGCCAAATGTATCATCGTCGTCGTCGTCGTCGTTCTGATCCTGTGCCATATGCATGTTTGGATCCAGTGGCGTAGGGATGTCCGGCACCGTTACGGCGGTCTTGCCATGGGGCCGACTTGGCGCCGGCACGACTGGCGGTGTTGTCTTTGGGGTGGTGTCCCCCGCCCCCAAACGAATCTGGCTCTTCGGCCAAAGCAGGGGCTAGCTCAGGCAGGCGCTGAGGGTCATCACGTCTTCATCGTCGGCC